TCCGGTTAAGGCATTGTAATGTTTCTTTTAAATTTTAAAATTAACGAAGACCTTTTAACAAAAAAAAAGTTTAATTTTATGTTCAATCTGTTTACTTACTACCAATATTTTTTTAAACCCAACAAAAAAAATTAAATCACCGAAATGGTTGGATCACTTGAATGTTGGAGAGGCATAAAAAAAAGCCCACTGTCATATTTTTTTTGGTTTGGATGAATTTACACTTAAATTTTTCGAAAATCATGATAGTTAATAAGTATTGAAAATTAAATGATAAAAACTAACTGATGAAGATTTTAGGATTGGAAAACCAAATTTAGCCATATCTTCGAACCAAAACTTCTAGTATGGTTTTTCCATGAAGGCAATTGTGGAGACACATCGCCTTTCTCTTTCTCAACACGAAAGAGAATTTGCAAGAAAAGCTTAATTTTGTGAAATCATTATTTGCTATTTATACGAATCCATTCTTTAACGAATCAAATTAGCACATTCAATTAGCAAAAATTGTCCTAATTTTACTCATCTAACCAAAAGATCGAACAATTTGAAAGGATCTAATAATCACCATCCCTTTTTTAAGGATCTAACTAACATTCACCAAATAACGCATTCAATTAACAAAGTACAATATTTAAGGGATCAAATAATCATAGATTAGCGAAATTTTTTCTATTTTAGATGATCTAATAATCACCAATTACAGATCTAACGAGTAACAACCGAACTTACTTTCAGTCTTCAGCTTTGACGATTTAGCATCCCTGATTGAGATTTCTCGAACAAGAACTCTAATTTTTCTTTAGAATTAAGAATTGGGGAAAGTTCGTTATCGATGTGAGCGGGACAATATTTGAAGTTCCCAATACATTTGCTTTCGACCACAATGATTTTTTTTTTGTTTAAAACCCATAGTAAGCCCAACAAAAGCAGATTCTCAATATCTAACGAGGAGAGAGAGAGACATATTTTTGCAACATTAGTTTTAGATCAAATGTTCAAATTTATCAAAGTTATCAAATTCTCAATATCTAACAAGGAGAGAGAGACG